CAGTTTGTTGCGGTACACAATAGTCTTGATATACATATGCACCATTGTAGATCATTCATCTGCACTGAAACTTAAGCCTTTCTGTCATGTGGGGCCAGATTTATAGGCGCAAGAGCCCTGTCCACCCTAGTTCTGTCCTAGTTTAATTATAGAGTCCTTCTAGATTTAGGTTAAAGAGTCTGGGTCTTAGTTGGAAAGGTTTAGTCCCGAAGAAGGTTACCCTGCCAACACCCAATTAGAGTTGGAGTCTGTCACGTCATTGTAATAGGCTACTTATAGCCACCCCTATGCGATCAATGAGAACAACCAGAAAATAATCTATCTTCTCACCTCGTGCACCTGCGCCTTGCGCCCCCTCCTCACCTCTTCCTCCAACCATAGGCCGACGAGAGTTCCGCCCTTGCCCTACGACCTCCCACGACTACAACCTCCGGTCTAATCCAACCCCAGCCCGTGACACTTTCTCTACTTTGAGGATTAAATAAGTACTCCCTCCATCCAAAAAAACTTGTCCCTCAAATGGATGTATCTAGCACCAAGTTGGTGCTAGATACATCCATTTGAGAAACAAACTTAGACAAGCTTTTTCGGACGGAGGGAGTAGTAAGTAGTGGAGTTGACGTTTGATCCCTAGGTGATGATGAACATGTGAGTATGTAGTCTTTGTTGTACGTATGTGTTTCGCTGGAATGATTTCCAGAGCAAAACAATGCTACATCCCTTGTTTACTCTTGATAGGCATGTCTTGATTGATCTGGTTCACTAGTCACTGGTCTTGGTTAATTTGGTTCTAGTAATTGTTGCAGTTTAGTAAGTCCTTGCTTTGTTTTGCTCTACTTGGCTTGATTAGGTGCTCGATCAAGTAGATTGGCTACTGTTTTAGTTTTATTTATTTATTAGAATCATTGGTAGGCTGAACTGATCAATTGGTAGCATAATATGATGATTTTCTCAAATACCAGTCCTTGGTAGGTTTTGAGGTAGTCGATGGTCATTTTGCTCAAACTTGACTGCATATTGATCATGTGCTTGACTATATGGCTCTGTCCTGGTTTTGGTTGAGTTTATTAATCTGAACCTTAACCAGAATTTCATTTAATGTGGCTTAACCTGGAGATTGAGTCCTTCATATTTAATAGTACTACCTAAATACCCGTGCGCTGCTACGGAAAAACAAACAATTTCACTTCATGAAGATGCGCCTGAAACGTGATATATGTAGTTCTCGACTATCAAGATAATGGTTGGTGTTCTTTCTCCGATAACTTCTTTGTTGGCAACCAACACATGACCTTCTGCCTCTCCATTTTTTTGATTTCTTGCCATCCCCATTTTCCACCTAGGGTGTTCGTCTTTTGTTCTCCAACTCTTAGCTGTTGCAAAAAAAATGATTGTTGGCGGTTATATCTATGTCGAAGTTCACATAGTCGTGTTCACCCACAGCCTTCGACTGTTGCGATCCTATGGCACACTCGTCCCAGTCTGGGCACATGTGCTTTTCAAGAAGTGTGGTACGAAATAGCCACCAACATCAATTTCACTGGTATACAAATTTCAATACAGAAAAAAAGTTCATATGGTACTAAACGTTTAAAGTCGACAATATGGTGGTATCCCTTACATTATAGCATTACTCGGTCGGCTTTTTTTAACATGGAAACTTACATGTGTTAATTCATTTATTTTCCCTCCTGAGATTTATTTCTTTAGCCATGGATTTATTTCTTATACTTTTTACTTTGTTCATTATTCATAAACTAAGAAAGCATTTTTCTTCAATGCTGCTCATAAAATTGTTCTATCAAGGGGAATTGTTTATAAAAATATCCTTTTCTCATTTCTAAGTAATCTCTAAAAATGTCAATTTTTGTTCAAAATTGCTCACATTGCCAAGAATGATGTTCATGGTATTAATTTATCTTTATCACACTATTCCTCTTTTGAAAAAAAAACTGATAGTAAAGGTTGCTATATTTATTCAAATACTTCTAAAACATATTCACATTGCCTAAGAAAAAGTTTGTTCACTGTTGGTCACATAATTGTTCATCTGTTGCTAAAAAAAATTCCCATCCCCAAACCTTTTGTTCACTCTAATTCTGTGAATTCAATTTTATTTATGTAGATACACACTGGATTTTTATGAATGTTAAAAATCATATCGTAGGAGTATCAAAGAACTCGTTGTATAGGTATAGCTAGATTTTCTTAGGTACGTGTATCTAGATTTTGTTAGAGCAGCTTAGTTATTCTTTTAGAATCTGCAGCATAGCTGATCACCATGACATTCTTTTAGGGCCACTTAGCTAGCTTTCTTAATTTAAAAACAGCATTGTATCTAGCTTTTTCTTCCGAGGCTAATCAGCCCTAGCTAATTGATTGGTGCCTTCCGTGGGCTACCATATGCTGAGGCACAAGTAACGTGCCATAATAGGCAACCTTTTAAATCCAGATTTCGTGTATAAAATTAAAAAGGAAGGTGCTAATTGGGAGCATTTAATTGAAATGTATCCGGATTTTTTGATTGCCTTCTGTAATGTTGGGTAGGAAAGGGTAATTAATTATCGTATTAATTGTGCATCAATTCCCCAATTTTTGTGTTTGTGCGGTGGTTAGTTTTGGACCTTACCATTTTTGTGTGATGGGACCTGTGTGACATTGGATGTAGATCGAACGGTCTGAATGCGTCCGATGATAAGTGTTGAACGACGACGTACCACCATCACCAACTCCAATATATTAGTAAAGATTTTGGTGTTGCTGTAAGGTTGTGGCTGGTTGCACTTCTATATTAGCTGATTCGGACTTGAATGATCAAACTTGGGTAAGCTCTTTTGTGATTCGACACAGTGCTGCCTAAGATGAATTCTGCTCTGTTGCCTTGTATGAGATGCATGTGCTGATGCTTATCGAAAGATGCATATCTTGTTTTTTTTTAGTGCTCTAAACCATTGCCTACTTGTTGCCTGACTTGGGAACTGTGTATCACCACTGAAACCAACCCTAAACTTGACCTTCAAATTAAATGAACAAGTAGGTAAGCGATTTACATCGTCTATGAAATCTGATTCTACGACTTGATCATGTGGCCAGGATATGGTTCTTGATGGTGATTTCTGATTCACTGGGTGTTTATACTAGCTGTCACTTCTTAGTCGATGTTATCCACACTTTGTTTTTGGTATGCCCATTTGGTTTTTTGTCTCGGCTGGGCTTTGTGCTGAACGTCGGCTTTTAGGGCTGAAACAGATTGTAAGATGTGTCTTTCAAGTTAACTTGTGGGCTTGGTTTGGTCGACTTAATCAACCTCAACCTTAAACCTGGCTTGTATTCAATGTGGTCTGAAGCTGGAGCTTGACTTGTTTCTTAAACAGATTTCTATTTAATGTCGAGCTTCTATTTACTGGTTGCACTTGTTGGTCTAGTAGATAAAAGTGATTAATCTTTTGCGATTCAACACAACAAATTTCTGGTGTTGGCTGTTTGAATTGTATGTGCTGCTGCTTATTTATCTAGCTAGCTAGTTTGTTTATGGTGCCACGTTGGCATGTAAACAGCTTTAAATCCATCAGCCTGGTAGCGTTTGTGCTCCTGCAAATTGCTTCAGCAAGTGCTTATCTGAAATAGTAATGTTCCTTGTGTTCATCTCTAGATAGAGTATTTCCAGATTATTGAGATTTGATCTGCTATGCTACTTTTTTTTTTGGCGGGTGATGCTACTGTTTTATTACAGGTTCGTTTTTGGATCAAGTCGGTGCTTTTGGAGAATGAGATGGTTGTGAGGACTAAAAGGAACAAGGGCTTGACATGCCTTGCTCGCCTACTGTCTATGCGGCTCATCGCCTCTGGCTGCTTGGGGGTCCAAGTTCTCGCAGCTGCTGCTGCTGCTGCTTTGGCTGTGGCCTATATAATGTTTTGGTCCTGGTAATGTCAAGTAGTCGTTGCACATGGTGGTAGCATCGTTCTTGTGATGCTCCAGGTTCAGGGCCCCAAACAGGGCCCCATCTTATTCTAACTTGTAAAGAAAGAATCTTGCTATGATGGATCGATGTTGTTGAATCAGTTCATCATCGGAATATGGACCTGCTCATAATATTATTGGCAAACGCGTACTCATCTTGTGGCAATCTAATGTGATTCGGCTGCTGTTGATCTGTGATCCGACTTTTGATAGATTGATCACTCTAATCATGAGTTTCTTTCCCCGCTTAATAGTAGCACAATGCTCGTGTGTTGCTGCCATTGGAGCCACGAGTAGCCTACTGACTGGTTGAAACACGCTGTAGCGTTTTATTAGACCATTCTTTATCTTATGCGAAAACTATACTCCCCTAGTAAAAAAATATAAGAGCATTTAGATCACTATAGTTCCACATGATTGAACATGCTGCATGTACTGTTTTAGTTTAGGGAATCAGCTAGCCTTGATTTCTTCAGGCCAGTGACTCGTTCCACTCATACCGTCATACATTATGGTTAGTGAGTTTCATGCACAGTTACCATGATTGCTTTTGGAATCAACACACTTAAAAGCGAGCTACCTGCTTTCGATCGGTTCAGTCACTAGCATGCGCTGCAACTGGAACTAAAACGTGCATGTGCAGTTGCCGTGTGATACATTTTGGTCCATCTCTTTTCTTTTCAAAAATTCCCTGTAAGAAAAGAGAACTAGCTAGCCAGGGCAATCTGCAAGAGTGTCAAGTAATTTGAAATGACCTATGATGTTTTCTGGACAACATAGGTCACAGTTCATCACAACCATAGCAGCCTGATTTTACACACAAGGCCAAGCAAGCAAATTAGGCACACACACATGCATAACAGTACTACTCCAGTATAGATAATGAAGAATATCATCCAGTCTAGATAATACATAGCAGAATGCGCATTAATTAGGACATCATAACACACAGCAGGAAGCATATACTATGGTCTCACTTCACAGCTGATAGCATCACACGCACGACCGCTGCAACAGAAGATTCACTCAGACTCACTCTTCAATTGGCATGCATCTTGTTGAGTTTCTCTGCAAGCTCCACGTCCATCTCGGAACTGAAGTGGACGACGTCCATCTCTAGCATGTCATCCACGCGTCGGGTTCCAGGATGGGTGATATCGTGCGGGATGTATTTGGCGTCATCAGGATACACAATTTTCCTCGCGGTTTGCTCACCATAGTAGCAACGGCCTATCAACAAAACAAAACCCGACCATGCATGGTTGAGTGAGACTACTACAACACATGATAATAAGAAGTCAATCAGCCGTGCCGCAGAGAAACTAGTGGGGGCTTACCTGCATAGTCATAAGGTAGAGGGCAGCAGGTCTCTGGCCTTGGCCCACCTGAGAACAAAAACTCAGCGAAGAATAGCCTCCTCTCACGCTCCAAATGAGAAGTAGCAGTGAAGTTCACGCGGTAGCACATCTCACCCAAGGGGGGGCGGCCTTGGTTGATTGCCTCCACGCCACAGATAATATCAAGTTTATACTGCTGCTCCTACAACAAGCAAGTCGAGTAAGAGAGCAGGCCAAATGAAGGTAATTAAAGCAAATGTACGTAACAGATAAGTATACCTACCCAAAAATGCTGGGTTGTGTAATCCCTCAGCACCTGTTCAATCTTTGAGCGGAACCAACTCCTCCGCTCCTCATACTTTGATCTCATGCTTGACACGAACATCAAAGACTTTGGAAAAAGTTTAGGAGCTTGCACAACGCCACCAGTTTTAGCAGCCACCCAACCGCGCCACATGCGGCTTATATGATTTGTCATGTCCTCGATGCGCAACACACTACATTGAATTTGAGCCTCGGACGTCAAGGAGAGCAGCGCTTTTCCCTCGGGTGTTACCATCAGCATCTCGTGCAGTTCACCCAGCTGAAACGGTAGAGGGTGTCCAGCGGCCTTGGCAACTTCATGGAAGAGCTTCTTCTCTTTAAACATCTCTGCCGATAATGGAAACCTGTCAAAAACGTCGCATCCTGCACTGCAGAGCAACTCCAGAGCACAACCCTCTGTTGAGAACTGGGGGATGGCGAATTTGGCGAGCTCCACAAGGCCCTTGAGGGAGTGAACCTGTGTGCGGAGCAGAGATAGGGGGTCCAGGATGTCATTGTATTGCTCAATCTTGCTGCGTTCAGACTCTGGGAGAGGGCAGCCGTGGCTGTTGTACCAAATGGAGTTGACGATGATGTTGGAGATAGGGTCCATGGAGCCGTAGCAGTGGCCGGCCATGAGGAAGGCGCGCATGAGCGAGCCGGATGGTTTGGGCAGCAGCTTGAGCACCTTGACGCAGTAGGTATGAATCATACCGTGGAGGTGCATCTTGAGAGTATGCAGGTAATCGCAGGCGTCACTGCTGCACAGGTTCTCCAAATATTGTTCCAGGCCAGCTGCTCTTTCCAGGCAACGTTCTAGCTTGTCAGGCAGTCCGCACTGCAGCGACGAGATGGGTTTTCCGTCCCAGCAGAGAGCGGTGGAGGTGGTCCTGGTGTCCTCTGTAGCGGAGGGGGTGGTCGACCACACGGTGTCGAGGTTCTGACGAACATGGACAACCAGCCCTTTTGTGGTATGGCTTACGCTGGCAACACAGGGCGGGCTCATCATCATGCGCAATATGCTGTCGATTTCTCTGACATCATCAGCCTTGAGAGGGGTATCTGCTGCTGAAAAGAGTTGCCTCTCCAGAAGGTGAAAGTCGTCGTCTTTGAGCTGGGATGACATGAGCTTAGTCAAAACGGTGGGGGAAGGGTGACCTGCGATGGTGGCCGCCCACTCGAGGGCAGCCTGCGTCCTGCCGGATTCAGGGTCCAGTGCATCCTCCACCCTATAGTAGAGATCGTATTCGACGAGCATGACGGCGAGGCTGAGATTGGCGCCCGCCCAGTAGATGTAGCGGGCGGCCTGTTCCTTGGTGCAGAGACATCCGAAGTAGGCCATGAGGAAGGCCAGGAGACTGTTGTAGGACCTGTTTGCAATGTCGTGCCAGGCCCAGGCCTTGCGCACTAGTCTTCTGGACTTCTTTGTGGCGGGTGGAGCGGTGGAAGCTGCGGCGGCGGCACCTTCGGGGAGGAGGGCGAGGGTGTTGAGGATGATGTTGGAGACGGGGTCGAGGAGGCCGAGGCAGGTGCCGGCGGTGGTGAGCAGGTCGCGGAGGCCCGGAATCCTGTCGCAGGGCAGCCGGTCGAACGCCTGGTCGTAGAAGCCGACGATGAGCTCGTAGACGGCCTTTTCGAGGTCGGGGTAAAGAGGCAGAGGCGCATCCTCGACGCGGCAGTTGAGGCTGTGCGCGCAAGACACCAGCCCCCTTCTCCCAGAGCCGGAAGAAGTGGATCCAGAAGCCATCAGCGGCGATCTGGCGGCCGGAGCGTTTTTTGGGGCGGGGGACGGCCAGGAGGGCGGCGGGTTGCTTAGGGTTGGGGTAGAGGACGAGATGGTATTTGGGGGCGGGGGGCGGCGGCGGGGGGCGGCGAGCGGGGGGAGGACGAGATAGGGTTTCTCCCGGAAAGTATCAGTGCGAGCCTAGGAAGGGGAAGGGCGTAATAAAAGTATCTACGAATCCGACCCACGGGTGGCTTAGGGGCTTTGGGCCCCTCGCTGCAGCGCACGAGGATATGAGCCGGCCCAGTTCGCGGTAGGTGTACACTGCCTCCTTTTCTTTCTGTTTTTCGTGTTTTTATTTCGTTTTTTAATTCCTTTTTAGTTCTATTTACACATTTAAATATTCTAAACATATATATATATTAAAAAACTTTACTTCACATAATATATTTTTAAAATGTTAATCGTGCTTTCAAAAATAAGGAGACTACTTTCGGGATGAAGTGTCGCCGTCTCGAGGCGAAACTTGGGCAGGAGCACTTTTGTCCTTCGGCGGAGCGATTTCGTCAGGGGACTTCTCTCCCAGAGGGGGAAATCATCGTCATCATCATCACCAACCCTCTCATCTTTGGGAGGGTCATCTTCATCAACATATTCAACAGCACCATCTCCGCTCAGACCCAGCACCATCTCCTCTCAAACCCTAGTTCATCTCTTGTGTTCAATCTTTGTACCGGAACCTCAGATTGGTACCTGTGGGTGACTCATAGTGTTGATTACATCTTGTAGTTGATTACTATATGGTTTATTTACTGGAAGATTATATGTTCATATCCATTATGCTATTTAATACCCCTCTGATCTTGAGCATGATTATCATTTGTGAGTAGTTATTTTTGTTCTCAAGGTCATTGAGGGAGTCCTGGATTAGGGGGTCCTCGGGCGTTCGGACTATGGGATATGGGTCGGACTGATGGGCTGTGAAGATAAAATCAGAGGGCTTTTCCGCCATATCCGGTTAGGACTCCCATATGCGTGGAAGGCAAGCTTGGTGTCCAGATATGTTATTTCCTTTTTTTACAAACCGACTATGTGTAACCCTAGGTCCCTCCGGTGTGTATATAAACCGGAGGCTTTAGTCCGTAGAGGCTATCATAATTCTCATAGGCTAGACAACTAGGGTTTAGCCATTACGATCTCGAGGTAGATCAACTCTTGTAACCCCTATACTCATCGAATATAATCAAGCAGGAAGTACGGTTTTACCTCCTTTACACTAGTAGAAAACCACCCATTAGTCCCGGTTCGTAAGGCCTTTAGTCCCACCCATTAGTCCCGGTTCAAACCAGAACCGGGACCAATGTGCCTCCACGTGGCCCTATGCGCCCACCCCAGTCAGGGGGCCTTTGGTCCCGGTTGGTGGCTCCAACCGGGACCAAAAGTCAATTTTTTTTAAAAGTGGCTGCTTTAGGGGTTATTTTTAGGTTGTTATTATAGCTAGCTAATAGAGAGAAGTGTCCTCTCTTATATCTTCGTCCTTGGTTTATCAACGCTGCTGCTATGTTCATTGCACCCCGCAGATATAAAATGCTCATGCATGCTTGCATCATACATCATCATATATATATAATAACAAGTCCTACTAATCATGCATCATCATATACAACTTCTACTCGTTATTAATAATAAGTCGTACGATCATCATCCTCATAGTCATCGAACCCAACCCTACATAATTGTTCTTAGCACATGATCATCAGTATCAGGTAGGACCTAAACACCCTTAAGGTAAAATAGCATAAAACAATATAGACCCTGACTCTCCATTATGAAGAATGGCGATCATCCTGTCTCCAATGTTTGCCCTTCGCTGAATGTTGCTTCCACGAAGCTCTTTACGACTGTCCATACATTTTTTCCATTCTTTGATTATCATGTCTCCACTTCTTTTAGAAACCCGGTATGGACAGTTGAGATTCGTAGGACGACCTGGGTGTATGTTCAAAACATGAAGGCTACCCCGTGTATACATCAGATGAGGCACACAATCATTTGGAATTATCTGTTGAAAAACATAGTAATAACTTCGTAGTTAGCAATGATATGATGTACTAGTTTTAGAAGTGTGCAAAAAGATGCACGAATGTTGTAATAGTAAAAAATCATACCAGGGTATCTCCATGGTAGTTACCGTAGTTCAACACGTGCACTAGTGGCACGTATTGACCATAATGTTGAGGAGTTCGATTGTAGACATTGTAATTCTCAAGATCAGTACAAAATCCGACCAGATGATTTTTCTCCTGATAAGTTAGTTCGGAGCCTTCGGTGTAGTAGGTTCTGTCTACCATCTTCCGCACATTCTTTGAAGAATGAAAATAAGCCGTCAATGGAGAATAAGTTGTCAACTATTTTCAAATAAACAATATAAATTACTTAATAACTATGTTAAGCTCACATGGGGGAAGAATTGGAGGTGTATCCATAAGGACGAAAATCGTAGGTCTCTCTTGCTCGATTGTAGGATCACCAAGATCCATGGTAACAAGCATACCCTCATCAAAACCATACATCTTGCAAAGTGCTTCCCAATTTTTGCAACCAAAATGGGTTACACTCTGAGCATTGTACAGCTTTACTTGAAAATCCACACCATGATGGGTACTTAGGATAATTTTTTTGGTTTCGAAACTTTCATGGTCTTCAAAACCCATCCTCTCCAAGACATAGCGTCTTGCAAAGCATGGGATAAGCTAGTCGAATTGGAAAAGATGAAAAATATTGTCATGATTAAAATAGTTGAAGTCATGAGTAATTACAAAAAAAAAACTATTATCGTCGGTTGCGTACCGTATGAACATCGAAGGTCTCCTCGAGCTTAATGCTGAAGCGCCGATCTTCGTCCAGCACAATGAACCTGTTGCAGATACCTCGGTCGTCGTGGCACCAGTCGCACTCCCCCGGGCGGTTTTCGTTGTCCGATGAGTACGACATTTCCGGCCTATACGTTCATAATTCAAATATTAAACTAGATCATTATTATTAATCACGGATTGAGTATCGATGATCGATGTACGTAGCTCCTCCTTTCATTCCCGAATGCATTATTAATTATATCAAATTGTCTAGCACACGGGAATGAAGGAGAAATTATCCAATATGAGCATTCAATAAGCAAAACCAAATCATAAAATAAGCAAAACCAAATCATAAAATAAAGTATAGTATTCAAATTAGCATGCATTCAATAATTATAAGCGAAAGTACATCATCTCTTGGTGTCCGTACATCGTCAAATATTATCACTAATACAACTAGAACCGTAGCTCCCGACGGGTATCGATGCGGGCGATGGACACCCAAAGATAAGGAACCATCACAGGATCATAGCTCCAGTGAGATCCCTGAAGAACCTGCCAGGTATTGTCGAATCTCCCCTTCAATGCAACCATGTAGCGACGTATGTGCTTGTCCTCCTCGCTGACACGGTGATGTACCACCTCCGCGGTGTCCGGATGCCTCACCACCGTCACTGGCCCACGCGACCGCCACCAAACAAGGATCGGGTCAACAACGGGTTGCCTCCTCACCAACCTACGTCCCCCGGAAGGTAGCACCTCCCAATACCAACCCGGCGGAGCCCAGTCCCGAACATGGCCCTGATCAAGCAGGCCTCCACCGCCGAGTCGACGACGACGAGGATGCGGGATAGGCATCGCCGACGTCGACGCGGGAACTACTTCTATATATAGTTAAATAAAAGTAGTTTTATTAATTAAATCAACTATGTAGTTCAACTACTAAGCACTTACTATAAATAAATAAGTAGTACTTACTAAAAACAAACTACTTCTATATATAGTAAAATAAATTAGTTTATTAAATCAACTAGCTAGTTCAACTATATATAAACTACTTCTTATTTTTTTCCTTTTTCTAAATACTATGAACAAAAAAATCATTAAAATTCTATGAACAAAATTAATTACACAATCTAAATATCACCAAAAAAATCTATTAACAATAATATCACCAAACATGCATATTCAATAATAATATCACCAAAAAAATCTATTAACTGAAAAAAAATCTAACATAATATGAACAAATTAATTACTACACATATCTAGTCTAACAAAAAAAATCTAATTAATCTAACAAAAAAATCTAACATAATATGAACAAATTAATTACTACACATGTAATCTAACAAAAAAAATCTAATCTAACAAAAAAATCTGTGAACTACATATCTAAATTACTACATATCTAACCTAACAAAAAAAATCTATGAACTACAAAAAGAATCTAAAAAAAATCTAACAAAAATAAAAAAACGCTCACGTCGGCGTCGAGGCGGCGCGATGCACGGGCGACGACGGGCACGGGGCGGCGCGGGGCAGGGGCGACGAGGACAACGGGCTCGGGGGCGGCGACGGGGACGGCGGGCTCGTGCA